TAAATCGAAACTGTTTAATTTGTGGTAAAATATCAATAAGAAACATTCCCCATTCATATCCATTTAAATAGATACTCAATGTTTCAAGTGTCAAATAAGATAAATTTTTTAGATTCTGAAAAAAGATATTTCATTGAGTCACTTGAACCTAAATATATTAATTTCAATGATATAATTGATGAAAAAATATTTCTTAATTCTTCATTTTGTAATTGACACGAAATAGTTGTATAAAGTTGTCGAAGATGAGGTGTACATTGTAATAAATAAGATAGATTATTTAAATCACATTTGATATTTTTCATGATAAGATATTTGATTGATTCTGATATTATTGTACTTGCAATGAAAACATTATTATCTGGATGAAAACAATCAAGATTACAATAAATAAGTTTTGAAATATTCCAAATATTGTTCATTAAGAAGCGATTGTCTTTTTCTTCACAATGAAAATAACATTTAATTATGTAAAGATGTGTCAATTGTCGAAGATGACGACATTGAAATATTATTTGATTTAATATATTGATCGAAGAAATAGAATAAAGTGAAAGTGATTGTAAATATTTGAATTGATCTAAAGTATAACCATGAGACAAAAATAATTCAGGTAAATGAGGCGTCTCATCATTATCGGAAAGATAAAATGAAATTATTCGATCAACAATCAATGGAAGATAATGTTCACAGACATATTCAAAATCATACTTGGATATAGATTGAAAATTAAGACGATAGTGTCGAAAATGAATAAAGACTAATTTGTTAAAACGGCTATTGAGACTATTAAAGGCATGAAGAAGATAAATTAAGTTAAAATGTTCAAATAAATCTAATCATAACTCGTTGGGCAAGTCTTCAAACTTCATCTTTCTTTTCAATTATAATAGGACAACATAGGTGAGTCGTCGATTTGTTTTTTTTCATAAATGAAAGAAATAAACGTGCCACGTTCTTTTTTTCTCATCGATTATTTTACAATGTTTCATTTGTTACTGTGTCAACAAAGAACTTTTCTGTAGCTATGACTCATAATCTTATTTCACTTAACATCTTCATTTTTCAAAATCAGAGGGTGCACGGATTAAGAGAATATCAATTCCCAAACTCATAATCACACCCCCATGGCACTGTCAAACACTCTATTGTCCTTTTATGATCAATCCATAGGAATCTATGTCAATCTTATTATCGTATTAAACTATCTAATTTCGGTCTCGATGGTGTCATTTGTGTAGATTTTTTAGAAAACATTTAGTATTACTGAAACCGATGACATTGATATGTATTAGATCTCGGAACGGGAGTGATTAGTCGATTACTCAATCTTTATACCCTTACAAATGTTTTCAGCCAGGGTGTTGGTGTCGGTATGTATGGGTTTCTAGTTGAAAGGAATACCGACACCCACTCAGCCACACCCACACTCTCAACCATATCCACACCCACATTGTAACTGTTATTAAAATCGTACGGATAATTTATGCGTCTAAAACTTGCATGATTTTCAAAGATTAACTTCTCATTTCATATGCACTCAGTCAATAACATTGGTTTTTTTATTATAAATACTAGGTGATGTGATGATTCTTTTGATATTCAAAAAACCTTAAAGAGTCTTTATTTTGACTAAGTTTGACCAAAAAAAGAAATCGCACGGACAATTTTTGCTGCGACTGTATTATTTCAAATTATTGAATTCCTTATTTTGAATAATTCGACAAAACAAAAACAAGACAAACATCAATGAAAACAATTTTAAATTTTCTGTTCATCTCATCATATTGATGAATTCAGTGAAGCCAAAATAATATCATCTTTTGTTCAAATTTGCTTTGAAATCGTCAACTAATTTTTGTGCCAACGGTTTAGAAATCTTATGGTAAAGTTGTAAATGCTTTTTCAATACACGAAGTGGAAGTGAACGACGTTGACATGGTACGTTTTCTACATTTTGTCGACTATATTGTGTTGAATTAATTCGTCCATTAAAAAAGGGACATGACACTTTATAAAAATGGTCAATTACACCTTCATTTTCATCAAATAATTTTGTAGTCCCAGGATCTCGATTATTGACAACAGCTCTTACTAAATGTTGAGCATAAAATTTTTTTAATTGATGTTTATAAATGAAATGATAATATAAGCCAATTCGACGATTGTTTCCATGCTCACAAAGTTCAATAGAATGATTTGTTTGAGTAAGACCATATGCTCCATCAAATGTTAATGGACATTCATCAAAAATATTTCTAATAGATTTTACGTTATGTTTCTTTTGTTTTTCATTTACATGTTGATTCTGGAAAGAAAACCATAATGCATGTTTAAGTATCATGCAGGATTCATTTCATTGAAAATGAAACTAATTTAGACATATACAACGAAATAAGTTTATAATATGTATCGTATAATGTCGACTTGAATACAAAAAAGTATAACAAGATCATGAAGGATGAAATATAATATTCACACAAACTGAATTAATTCAGAAATTTACTTTTCTACATAACCTTTATTGAATGCAATGTCTTTATTTAATTTGTTGCTGATACTTTTCTAATTTAATCATCTCTTGTCATCGGGTTTAAAGTGAAATTTCCCTGAGAAACATCATGTTCATGATTCCTAATTAACAGAAAAGTTTTGAAACAGATCTCTTAAATGCCAAAAAGCTTACCAATTAGAATCAGTTGTGGACACAAGTATCCGGGTAGATACCGTGCAATAGAATGTATAAACAATTATTTCGAGCACCAACAAACAAAAACAACTAATCTAATTTTCAGACGATCTCGTTTTTTTCATCATAATACAAAAGAAAAACTTTTGAATTCCGTCTGAATTCGATTCGTCGACTCAAATCGTTTCGGAACTTTTATATAGTGACGCCTATTTAAAACATGTTTTGTAGTGTTTCATCTAGGTAACGTAGTTACACTGCTATGTCTAATAAATATTTAGATATGACATAGCAATAGTTGATATTTCAATTTAAAAACTGACTTTATCAACTCTTCTATGGATATAATTCTTTTTACCTTTATAGATTTTGTTGTTTCACTATACGAAAGAAAAATATGCAATCAATTTCGGATCTTTGTCTAATAAAAAAAAAAGAAGAAACTTACTTAAATAAATTAGTGTCAATGACATTATGATTGATATGCATTGAATATCTATCATCTTAAATCAAGCATGTTTATTTTTATTTTTAAAGTTAAAGAAACGTTAACTTACCTTTCGTGTTTTTACATTCTTCCACTGCATTATAAACATACAAAGAAAAAAATTCTTTTTTTTTCTATCATACGAGGGAACTACACGAATTGATCTTCACTATTTGAACTCATATGAAGTCAACAACAAAAATTCACTAAGAGTGAAAAAGCTTGAAAGGGATCGCGTTCATCAGTCACTTTAGTGAATTTTCGACTCATCTTTCGGTATTTATTCAAAATCAAAAATAACCAAATTTCGTCCATTAATCGATTTAATAATCTGGAATCTGCAGCGAAAAACTTCAATAAATAGGCACTTGTCAAAATCAAATATACTTGGATATGTAATATCTCGATAAATTGACGTCCTTTTCTTAACTAAAACTTTCAGACTATTCCAAGGATCATCAGATTTATGTCTATGGACACTTACAGATCGAAAATTCAGTAAAGAAAGTCATAATTTGGATTGTTAACTAAGAAAATTTTCATTCATCTTACCATATGAATTCACTTTTTTCTCATTACATTTGCAAATACAAGAACAAGATCGACTTTCTATTAATGATGATTCGACTTTCAATACGGTTTCTATAATAAAAAATAAAATAAAAAATGATTATCTCATTAATTTTTTACCTGAAAGATTTAATGTTATTGTTTGATTGATTTTTTCGAAAATATTTTGTAGTTCATCAATTGAACTATTAGGTATATCAAGAAGTTTTTTTGCTTGTTCAATCAAGTTTTGATCGCGTGCAATAATTAATAGTTTTTCTTCAACAATTTCTTTAAATGTAGTTATAACTGTATTTAATTCATTACGAAGATTATCTAATCGTTGTTTATTTTGTTTTGTTATTTCAACATGTTGAATTAAATGATGTAAACAAACAAGACGTAAACAACAATGACATTCATATAATGCTTTGATTTCATCATCACATGTTATATCAGTACATGAACCGATTTCAGGCATTTCTGAAAACAAAAAAAAAAGTACGAATATTAATATCTTCAGTATTCTTTAAGATGTGATAATTATCAGTACGGATGATATTTTTGAAATAATTGACTGACTAACAAATACATATATAAGAATCCTTTTTTTTGTATCGAATAAAATAGTTCGACTACTAACCAGTAGATACAGAGAATTAAATTCATTCATAGAACTTTACATAAAATGAAATGACCGTGAAAATTTCGTTTTAACCAAAATTTTTTCGAATGAATTATCACATGTTAGGAGAACATTATTGTCAACAGTTAAAGAAATAAAGATTTCAACAAATACTTCATGACTCTGTGAAAAAATCATAGGGAGAGTGTGGGTATGGGATACGATAAAATGAACCAACACCCATCGTGATCTTACTTTTCCGAATATCAATTGAATATGTGCAGAAAGTTTGTTCTTTGAAATTAGTGATCATTAATTAGACGTGCTCAACCTGTGAAAATGTACGCTTCGAAACGAACAATTGCTTCTTCCATATCCATTAGAAAATATCTGAATGTATGCTTGCTCTTCTTCAGAAATGTTAGATAAGAGAGCAGAACGTCACGTCGGCGTATGGATGATACTGATAGTATACTCGTTTTTTTGCAGCATAAAAAAAAACAGAGTAACCATGTGAAAGAGAAACGAAAATTTTCTACCATCACTACTGGTAAACATAATAGATAAACTGAAAGAAAAAGTCAGACACATAAGAAATATTTATTATAGAGAAAGGGAGGATGATTGTGAGAATGAAGAGACTCGTGTTTTATTGCAACTAATGACTGGTGAAATAAAAACAGAAATTGTTAAATATAAATCGATTAGATGGTAGTCCTTTTTGTTAACAAGACAAAGAAAATTCGATAGATCAGAAAAAGCATTTTGATTTCATCTATCTCGCATTTATAAATCTAGAAGTCTATCATTCTCGAAACTAGACAGTGGCGAATCAAGCATATCAGAAAAAAAAGAAATAGTTCACGAGCTTTATCATTGCCATGTAAACCAATTCAGAGCGACAGAAACAGGGTGTGAGTGTGGGATATCTATATAAAAAAAAATTGACTAAAAATCAGATTATTATCAATTATAATGGTACTATTATAATCTGATTTTAACCAGATTTTTCAGTCTTAAAGAAAGAATTTTTTTGATTTTAATCTTTTTTTAATCAATTAAAATAGATTAAAAAGGTGGTTAGCGCAGCTTCATTGGAGCTGAAATGTAGAACTCACATATCTTCTTTAGTTTCATTATACTAATGACAAAATAGCTAATGTTTAAATTCCCTAAAAGACGATAGTTCATTTCTAATGATAATCGATTGTCAGCAAATGCTGTCTTGGGTGTGGGTGCGGATGTGAATGTCGGTGCATCGGTATTCAACACTCACAACTACACGTAAACCCCACACCCATATTCACACCCTTTCTATCGCTAAGTTACCGACTTATTTTGAAATGAAAACCTATCTGAAACCAATAAATGCCTCACAAACTTCATTGTGTGAAAAACTTATTTCGATAGAGCTAGAAATGAAATAGTAAACCGGTAATTACTGGGAGAAAATAAGTCAAAACACCTGCCGTACCACCGTATATTGTAAAAAATCAATGCAATTTACGTTCGATTGATCTAAAATTCTCACTAATTATTTTACTATTTGTAATTTGTCGTTGACCATGGTGATGAATCATAATACAGAGTCGAATTAGCGCTAGTGGTTCTTCAAAGAAGCGGGTTTCTGCCTAGGAACCTTTAGTTTTTACAAATACAGAAATATGTTAAATCAAAACTCAGATGATATTATGATGTAGATGTGGGCGTACGAGTGAGTTCTCTCTTGGCGAACACTCTTACCCACACCCGCCAACAACAACATTTAAACAAGATGTTTGAGTTCAATGAGATTCTGTTAGAATACTCTGCTAGTAAATGTATTTTTTAGTTTAATAGTGTTCACAAGAATTCGTAGTGAAAATAAAAATGAAATGATGACGCGTGTACTAAAGAATCGTTGCAGTGAGATCATCTAAGTTCTTCAACACTAATTGTTGATTTTATAAGTTTTTTTTTTATTCTTAAAAAATTTCTGTTTGTTGAGAATCCGATTATTCTATATTTGTCAGAAAATACTAAATGACACATGGGTGAAGCACATCTCCAAACTTAACTCATCATTGATAAGATTATCAAATTTAGCAACATTAGAAGAATAATGACTAAATACATAAAACACGATGATTTTGTATAGAATTCGAGAAGATGAAATATTTTTGAAATTGGTTTTCTTATTCCTGTGTAAATGAATTCGCCTTTTAATTATTTATTTAACGCGGTAGAAAAAGAAATAGATGAAACATATGACTGTGATCATGTCAGATGATTTCAATTTCGTTGTTGTACGTCGTTCGTCGATTCAACAATGAATGTCGTTAAGAAAAATGTAAAAGAATGTTTCTTTCGCATCTATTTACTTACTGAAACAAGCAGTTATCCTTTTGTTATAAAGTCGTTCGACTAAATTCTTTGTAATGATGAGTTTTCGTTCGTTCAAATTTGATTAGTAAACATATTTTTCATCTATAACAACTCTATAAACGCTTTTTTTCATATTTTTAAACTCGTCCTACATTTTCTTTACTAAGACATAATAACACAATAGTAGATAAATCTTTCCATTGAATAAGTTTACAAAACATTTCTGAACAATTCAAAAAAGAGAGGCTCAACCTGAAAGTTTCAACGAAAATGAATATATTTTTTTCTTTTGAATTTTTTGAAAAATGCCTTGTTCTTAGTAAAATATTTCATTTAATTGGCCATAACTTTTTATGATTATGGCTATGGAGCCGAATTTTTTTTTGAAGGTTGTTTCAATCACGGTTGTGTGTATAGTTCATTGAAAGATCATATTTTATATAATATATAAATTTTTTCTATTGTAAAATTCATGTATATTAACAAACAAACAAAAAAAAACGAATAAATAAGAAAAATATTAGCACCAGAATATATATTTGTAAATGAGATTCAATAGAAAAGAAATTTTTTTTGATTTTAAGATGTTATTGGTTGAAATCTTTGCATATAAAAATGACAATTTGAACAATAAGTTTCAAGTTGATTTGTTTTTGAAAATCGTTTATAACAAAGAGAACATTCCATTAAACCAATAGGAATTTCCATAGATGATGATGATGGTGTATCAGAATCTGAATCTGATGTTGTTTGTTGTTGATGAATTTGTCTTAAAAATGAATGAATTAAATGTTCAGATGATGATTCATATATATCATTCGATGTTGGAACAATTAATGAAACATTATCAGAAAATTTAACATTTTTTTTTGGACGAGATAATCGTTTTGTTGATAAAAGTATTGATGATATTGTTGTATTATTATTATTATTATTTTTCTTTTTAATATTTTCTACAGATTGAAATGTTAAATTTATTCTATTATTTAATTCTTCTTGTTGAATTTTTCGTTTTTGTAATGAACGTATTCTTAATAATAAACTATTTTTTCTTGTTCGTGCATATATTGATAAATTATTAGTACGATTAATATTTAGATTAAGTATTTGATCAACAAGTAATAATGCTTGTTGACAAGATTCTAATGCAGATAAATAATTACTTGCACTTTCATATTTTAATGATTGTTCAAGATAATTTTCAATTGAAGCTAACATCATATCGACATGATTATCATCTAAATCTAAATTAACAAATTTTATTTTATATTTATTTCTAATGATACAATAGTTTGCAGATCCTAGTAGATTTATTTTTAACAAATATCACTGTTGAAAAATAGCTCCTAAAAGTTGTATGTTCGTTATACGAATAAGAACAATTAATTTAACATATTAATTGACAACACTATAACTACTATGTATAAGTAATAAAAAAAAAAAAAAATTCAAATAAGTATCACGGAACTATATGATCATAATTTTCATTATTTTTTTATTCGAAATACAATTATAAGTTAGTTTTAGTTTTTTCTTAATTTTATTATCTAAAACGTTTATGAATTTCATAAATAAAAAACTTTCTTATCTCCTATATTGATCTTTTCAATGGCAAAGACACTATTGGGAAATAAAATATCCTTTGATAGATATCAAATCTTTGAATGGAAAAAACAATAATCATTATTATCCTAATATTATATATATATATCTATTAGAATAAACATTTATATTGAACTAGAAATATCAATTAAATTAATTTCTACTTACTCATCATTTGTTCTGTTTGTTTAATTAAACTATCAATTTCAGTTTGTTCATTATCTACAAGACTATCTCTTGGACTATCATCACTTGATCCATCATTAATTCCACTACTTAAACCAGAATCACGTTGCGATGATGATGTTGATGAATCTCTACTGGATAATGTATCATCAAACTTTTGTTTTTGTGAAATTTGTTGTCGAACATGAATACGAGGTGATGATGTTAATGGAATAGATATTGATGATGTCATATCAGATAATGATTCTTTTTTTAATAATTGTTGTTGCATGACTTTAGCAACAGTTTCTTGATTAATATATGAAGAAGATGTTGTTGTTGTTGTTGTCGATGATTTTGGCATAAATAACATAGAAGAATTTAATGTTGCAAATGATGATATTTTCGAAAGATTTTCTAATGAATGTAATTCATGTTTAAATTTATTTTCATTTGTTTGAATTTGTTCTTGTTTTGACATTGAATATTTTATTGGTTCGAATATTTTATTATAAGGTATAACTACAAATTAAAAAAAAATAATAATACTTATCAATCGATGTTAGTACAATAAATGAAAAGACAAAAAAGAAATGAATAACAACAAGTTATACATTTGCCGTTCATCAATGTTCTATGTTTTTTTTTTCTTTCTCTGTCTCTCCTTCTTCTTCTTCTTCAACGTACGGATATCATCATATAATAAAAGCAATAGCTAGGCAAGA